CCCAACGATGTGGGACCCCCGCGATAGGAACCCCAGCGCAGGACCCCCGATGTGGGCACGGGTTGTGGCGTTGCACGGAGTCCCCTCCCCCGCCCCATGCCGCGCCGTGCCGGGTGAGCTGTCGCCCCGCAGGAAATGCCGGGGACGCCGCAACGCACCGCCCGCGTGCCCCGCATCGGGATGCCGTGAGCTGTCACCCCGCAGTGCCCGCGGGAACGGCCCCGGGCAGAGCCACGCAATCCCGTAGTCCCGTCTCTCCGACGCGCCCTCAGCCTCGCGGCCACAGGGAGCGGGCGGGACGTGCCAGGGAGCGCGGGGATCCGGCAAGGAAGGGACCCCCACGGCCCCCTCCCCCCCCCAGACAGGGTGGGAATCCCCAGATCTCGGGGGAAGGATGGGATTCCCCCAGCAGGATGAGGCAGAGAAGCCCTTGGGGCAGGAGGGGACTCCCGACCCCCTCTGCAAGGATGGGAGCCCAGACTCCCTTGTTGGGGAAGGATGGGACCCCCCCAGAAAGATGGGACCCCCAGAACTTTGGAGAAGGATGGGACACCCGGAGCACCTCCAGCTTCCCAGGGAGGATGAGACCCCCAAGGCAGGACGGGACCCCCGGACTCGTTTGGATAGGATGGAATCCCTATTAATCTGAAGCAGAACATTCGGGCAGGACGGGACCCCCATAACGTGGGGCAGGATGGGACCCACAGAACATCCCACAGCTGCCCACCCCCAAGGCAGGATGGGACCCCCGGAACTTTGGGGAAGGATGGGGAGACCCACGGGACCCCCCCCAGCGGGAAGGGACCGGAGAGCCGCCCCTCTCCCCCCGCCTCCTGAAGCACCACGTGACCCGGTTCCCCCGGCACAGAGTGCGACCCCCACCCGTCGGGCCGCACCGGGACCCCCCTCTCCGTCCCGGTCGGCCTCACCCCGCCCCGTACCGCCGCTCCGCAGCCGCCGTCGGTCCCGTCCCGCGTGAGGCAGAGCCGGACCGGACCCGCAGGTGGATCCGCGGCGCCGCCCCACGCGCGTGGGCCGTCCCGTCCCGGGCCGTGATTCAGCAGCGGGCGGTGCGGGGCCGCAGGGACGCGCTGTCCCCGCGCTGACCCCCCCAGGGCATCGGGTGTCCCCGTGCCGGGACGCGGCCCCCCCGCACCGAAAATACCCCGCGGCCGAAAATAGAGCGGGCGGCGCGGGGGGGGGGGGGGAGGGAGCGGCACCACGGAACCCCCCGGGACACGCGTGGGGGTCACGGCCCGCAGCTGGGGACACGCGGTGACGCTGCGCGCTGTGGAGACGAGGACGCGCGCGGGGGGCCCGTAACGGGGGGGCTGCAGGGCTGAGGGGGGGGGGCAGCGCGTGGGTCCCGAGTGCCCGCGTCCCCGTGGCACCGCGTCCCGCTGTCCCGGTGTCCCACTGTCCCCGTGCCCAACTGACCCCGTGTCCGCGTGTCCCACGTCCAGCTGTCCCCGTGCCCCGGTGTCCCCGTGTCCAAATGTCGCGGTGTCCTCATCCCCCGACTTCCCCATCTCGCGCCGTCCCCGTGTCCGCGTGTCCCCGTGTCCGTGTGTCCCGCTGTCCCCCTGTCGCGGTGTCCCCTATCCGAATGTCCGTGCCCGTCTCTGAGTGTCCCCGCGTCCCTCTCCCGCTCTCACCTGCTGCCCCGCCGCGCCCCGCACTCAATCTGCGCCCCGCACGGCCCGGCCCGGGCTCCGCACCCCCCTTGGAGCCATGGCCGCGATCCCGCACCGCGCGGGGCTGCGGGACGGGGGGGTCGGGGGTTCTGAGGACGCGCCGCGCTGCGGGGTGCGGGGAGCGGTGCGGGGTCTCGGCCGGAGGTGGCGGTGCCGGGCCGTGCAGCTCCGCCCCCCGCACCGCCCCTTCCGCGGGGCCGCCATGCTGCTGCTGTGCGCGGGGCGGGCGGGCTGCGGGCTGCGGGCGGTGCGGGCGGCGCTGAGCAGGTACCGGGCGGGGGGGGACGGGGGGAGTTGGGCGCAGTGCCCGGGATGGGCGCTCACGGCAACTCCGCAGCTGCAGGAATGGGGGGTCGGCGCTCCGCTCCGCACCGCGCCCCGCACTGCGCCCCGCGCCGCTCCTCGTCCCGGCGGGGTTTGCGTTGGGCTGCGTGGGGGCGGCGCTGGGGGCGGCAGCGCTATGCCAGGAGGGCCGTGGCCTCTCCGTCCCCGCCGCCGTCCCCGCCGCTCCGCGCCCCGAACCCGAGTTCCAATGGGCGGCGTTCTGGGCGCTGCTGCGCCCGCAGCTCCTCGCGCTGTCGGCGGCCGTCGTGGTGAGCGGGGGGGGGGCACGGCGTGGGGTCCCGTCCCGTCCCCATCCCCGTCCCTCTCTCTGTCCCCGCTCCCTTTCCTCACCTAACCCTGTCCCCGTCCCAGTTCACATCCCTGTCCCCGCTGTTATCCGTGTCCCTGTTCCCATTCATCTCTTCATTCCCATCCCTATTCTCATCCCTATGTCCATCCCCATCCCTGTCCTTATCCCCATATCCATGTGCGTATCCCTAGTGTCCATCCCATCCCATCCCACTGATGCCTATTTCTCCATCCCCATCCCCATCCCTATTGTTACCCATGTTCCATTCCCATTCATATCCTCATTCCCATCTCTATTCTCATCCCTATGTCCATCCCCATCCCTGTCCTTATCCCCATCCCCATGTCCACATCCTTGAGGTCCATCCCACCCCACTGACACCTGTTTCTTTGTCCCCATCCCATTCCTCCCCATCCCATCCCATCCCCATCCCATCCCACCCCACCCCATCCCATCCCACCCCACCCCATCCCATCCCATCCCATCCCATCCCATCCCATCCCATCCCATCCCATCCCATCCCATTCCTCCCCATCCCATCCCATCCCATCCCACCCCACTGACACCAGTTTCTCTGTCCCCCCCCCATCCCACAGCTCGCCCTGGGCGCAGCGCTGCTCAATGTGCAGATCCCGGTGCTGCTGGGGCAGCTGGTGGACGTGGTGGCCCGTGAGGCACGGACCCACCTGGAGGGGTACCTGCGTGCCGCCCGCCCCCCAGCGCTGCGCCTGCTCGGCCTCTACAGCCTGCAGGTGGGCACCACCCCGTGCCCAGACCCACACCCTGACCCACGGCCCGGCCCCACGCACTGACCCCACGCCCCACAGGCGCTGCTGACCTTTGGGTACATCGCTCTGCTGTCCCGTGTTGGGGAGCAGGTGGCTGCCAGCATGAGGAAAGCTCTCTTTGTGTCTCTGCTGCGGTAGGGCGGGCGTGCGGGGGCACAGAGGGACGGGGGGAGGGGGGGAAAGGGGAGATGGGGAGCTGGGGGAGGGGGGGGGATCGGGGGACATGGAGACAAGGGGGACGTGGCAGGGGGACGTGGAGATGGGGGGACGTGGGGACGGTTGGCACGCAGCAGCAGGGATATGGGAGGCGGCGTGGAAATGGGGACACGGAGGTGGGGGTGGGGTGGACAGGGGGATGGGGGTCAAAT